CAATCGTGATGACAGTGCTGTTCTTTAGTTCCTGTCTCAAGATGCGCTGAACCGTCGCCGCGGTACCACGATCGATAGACGCAGTAGCCTCATCCAGAATCACAAGTCCACTCCTTCGCAAGACGGCTCGTCCGATACCTACCAGCTGCCTCTGTCCTTGACTCAGGTTTTTGCCTCCAGCGTCAATCTGAGAGTCCAGACTCCATTCTTCACCAAGGACACGGTGGATGGCATTCGTGCACTCTTCATCTGAAAACTCCCCGGATGGATCGATGTTATCGCGCAACGTACCGGGGAAGAGAGTCGGGTCTTGCTGGATGAAAGTGACACGGTTACGTAGAGCCGTTCGGTCAACTTGTGAGAGGTCTACGCTTCCGATCTTGACGGAGCCCTCCGCAGGGGCTCGCGTTGCCAAGAGAGCGTTGGCGAGGGTTGATTTGCCTGATCCAGTTCGACCTAGGACCGCACAGGTTGAACCACCAGGGATTTCGAATGTAACATGTTCCAGGACAGATGGAAGATGATCGTCGTACTTGAACGACATGGAATCGAAGCAAACGTTATCACAAGGTCGAGGCCAATCCTTGGGTGGTTCGATATCACCATTAGGCTCTTCAGGAATCCGGTTCAACGCATCAACTCGCTCCAGAGACACAGCATCCAACTGCAGAGCCGCAAACTTCTCACACAGCTGCTGGACCGCACTCATGGCAATGTTTGTCTGCGTCAAGACGAAACCGACGGCGCTTGCTGGTGTCCCCATGTACACCATCGACAAGACCAGGACGGTTCGCATGACAGATGACGACATGCCGAGTCTGCAGTCTAGCCAAAAGGCCATGCTCCAGAAGAAGTGGTCCTGCTTCTGAAAGTCGTCGACTGCCTCGAGGTGTCTGTCCTGGAACCGACCTTCAACCTTCAACGCCCGGATCGTAACTAGCCCGTCCTGCATGACACCGATATTGGCAATGATCGGAGTGAGATATCTCATCTCCATGCGGCGAAGACAGCGGGAAACAGGTACGTAAATCCGGAAGAAGTAGACAAATAGAAGTGCCACGGCGACCAAAATGATGACGAGGAAAACCTGGTGCGTCATGATGGCGACAAGACTCAAAGCCAGAGCAATGAGGTTATACACAAACGCTTCCAGCGGTGCCAGGATTCCACCGTCCACCATGCCCATGTCGGAGATTAGGCGGTTCTTGAGTTGTCCCGTCGGGGTCGTGTCGTGGTATCGGAAAGAAGCCTTGCTCACCTTTTCGATGGCGATCCTGAACAGTCCGCGAGCGGCGTTGATGCTGATAGATGCCAGGAGGATCTGAGCGATGGCGAACGACACGATCTGCGCGAGGGAGAGACCACCAAGGACACCGAGCCAAGGAGAAGGGTGTTGACCAGGATCGGGAAGACCCCAGTAACCGCTTGTCACCGAGTCCTCGAGGTTGACAGACTCGGAGCCCCATGCTTCGAGGAGACCAGCTCGAGCAATGTCGCACCATCGAGAGAAGCTGTAAAAGACGGCCAGAGAGATCCAGAGATGCCATCCTCCAGCGCCCATATACTTGATATAGATGGACAAGGGGATGGCTCCAGACTCAGTAACGTGTTCCGGCACATCTTTGACTCCGGGGATATCCTCAGCAGGGTGATCTTGATGAATCTCGTGGGCTTGATTTCCGGCAGGGCCCGAGTCGACGTGATGAGGGTGCTCCAGTTCTTCTTTAAGCTCTTGGGGCGTCAAGACGTGAGCGTAACCGTTGGTGATGTCGATGACCTGATCAGCATGCTTGAGAACCAAATCATCTCTATGCGTGACAAGAACAATAATTCGATCCTCGGCCAGAGGTCCTCGAAGGAAACGTTGAACGATGGATCTCGCGGTATCATGATCCAAAGCAGCAAGAGGGTCATCTAGAAGAAGAATGCGACAACGACCGTAAACAGCTCTAGCCAAAGCCACACGAGCTTTTTGCCCTCCAGAGAGACCGATACCTCCCTCTTCAAGCTTGGTTCGATCACCATCTGGAAGTGTGGCAAAGTCGGGAACCAGGGCACATGCATTGATGACATCTCGATATCGTGCCGAGTCAAAGGGTTCGTGAAAGATGATGTTTTCGCGGATCGTCTTGTTCTGCAGCCAGGGGAGTTGCTGAGCATATGCAATAGGCTCATCAGGTCGGGAGAAGAGACCTCTTCGATGCTCCATCTCGTTGAGAATCGCAAGGAGCAAGCTGGATTTTCCAGAGCCAACCTTGCCTCTAACAACAGTAAGACCAGTAGTAATCTTAAGTGTAAGGTCCCTGAGGACGAGGTGTTCAGTAGCAGGTCGCGAAAAGGAGGCGTCGGAAAGTTCAATGTCCTTGGTAGAGGATCCGCTGAAGGCATCTTCGTCTCTGTCTGGTTCAGACATGTACTTGTTGACTCGGTCGACTGGGATTGTTGCCTTCCAGTAAGCAGAGATCAAGTCAAATGCCTCCTTTGTTCCAGACTCGAGCTGTGCAAAGAGTTGAAGCGAAGGCCAGATGACATCGTTAGGAAGACCCTGTCCAAGGACGAGCGTGTAAAGACAGATGCTCGCAAAGGGATAAGTAGCTCCCCCAAGAACATTAATCGTCGAAATGGCAGCATTGACAAATGAAATGTGCAGACGCTTCCTCATTTCCAGGTCACGGAACCTCATGATCCTCTCACTCCAAGAAGAAGTCCACCCATTGAGCTTGAGTGGACGACTAGCCTCAACAAAGTGCGCCACAGCTTGTGCTCTCCGATCTGAGTGAGCAGTTCGCTGTCGCTCTAGCTTGATGACCTGCTTGACGAGGAGAGAGTTGCAACAGAGGAAGAGAACCATAAAGCCGAAGCCCACGCATGAAGGCCAACCCATGATGTCGATGAGGTAGTAGACAGTGACTATGACCTTGATTGGCTGGGCGATTACCTTGGGGAACTCCCAGAACCGCTGCGATATCTCGTAGGTGTCGCCGCGGACCAGGTTGACCACCTTGGCGTTGGAAGCCTGGTTGTTTGGTGCTTCTGGAGTAATAGGCTTGTACTTTTTGCGACCAAAGCATCCGTTAAAGAATTGCTTGACCTTGTCCAGGCGAGTAGGATGAGCGTTGACTTGGTCCTCTCCAGCAGAAGGATCCTTCTCGGTCATCTCAGACCCAGGAACAGCACGAGTCAAGAGTTTACCAAACAGCCCGATAAACGTCTCTCCACGACATCTCTCATACGCCTTGCGAGAGTACCATCCCGAAGTGGTCTTTGAGACTTGACGGATGGTGTCGATGGCGAGCATCACCACACACCAGAGACCAGCCTCTGCAGGGTCGTTGTCGTCGAGGGCGCGGTACAGTTTGCTCGTAAGACGAAGATTTGAAACTTCAGAGACGCGCTCGACAATGGCGAGGAGAGTAGAGATGAAGAGGTCGAGACCGTTGGCCTCGATGAGGCATGGGAGGAGTTTGCCCTTGAGCTCGCGAAAGGCCATGTATAGCCGAAAGTGCTGAAAGTCGTGAGGCAGCTGCCAAACATCTTCAACAGAAATCTCTCTCTTGCGGCAGATTTTAGCAAGAGGATACACCCAGGTGACGGTCCAGAATTGGAAGAGGGTGAGGTTGTCTTCCGGGCTGCGGAGAAGATTGGTAGGATCGCGTTTGGTGCTTCCAATATCTGAAGCTCCCCAGGATTGATTTCGAAGAGGCATATTGCCAATGATGAGGATAGCGACGAGTGTCAAAATAAATCGAATAGTTTGAAAGACGTTGAGGTTGATTGTCTTGAAGTTGATGTAGTGAGCAGCGCAAATGACGAGTGTTGCCAACATCATGAGGAGATATTGAATAAACAATAACCTCGGGGTTTTTGTCGGACGGTCGAATAGCGTGACGAGCATCGCCACAGTCCATGGCGTAATATCCAGAAATGAAATAGGTAGCCGAGGGTTAAGGATAGCAGAGCTAACAGCCAGAGCGAGTCCAAGAAAGCTAATGACCATCAAGCAAGGCGTCCAAAAAGTCCACCGCTTGCCATTCTTCTGGCGAAGCCCAGTCTCTTGGGCAAAAGGCTTGAGCCATCTCGGCGTAAGGTATCGTAGAGGTTTGAGGAATATGTAGATGAGGAAAATGATGAAAGACGTGATGTTGAGGGCGAGGAGGATTCCAGCGTCACGTCCGGATAGTGAGCTCACCCAGGTCTGAAAGCTCTGTTGGTCAAATGCGAGGACAGAATCGGTAGGGAGTTGTCTGGAGGTTCCAGAGATGTATGAAATGTTTGTAGACGCCATTGTGATAGATTCTGAATAGACAGATGCCGTGTTGATAAACGTTGTGTTGCTTGGAACTGCTGGTTTGACAGCCTGCATGTGTGTTAACAGCAGAAATCCATCGATCTTGAACGGTTGGGGACAATGTAAGAGAGGAATTTTGGAAAACAAAAGTAAAGGACAAATGAAAGGGTGAGTCAACGTTGAGTTTACTGACATTGATAATTTACCTGCAACACAAAAGTATAGACTTGACTGAAGCCGAAAGGTTCAGCGCTCAGCGGTCGCGTACCAGATACAAACAACACGAGACTCTAAACTCAAAAAATTCACACAAAAGACAAAAGACAAACGGCAGAACGATCCATTGGAGCAAGACAAACAGATTCAATGGCGTCGCGATGGTCAATTGAACGCACTTCAACAACCACACAAAGCTTTGAACAGCTTCGGTGAAGAGTTGAAGCTTCAGAAGAGAACCCCTCAGCGGTGTGAATTCTCGCGAGAGAACCAACCGCGCCGCGATAGCCATTGTCCAATGATCCAGGGTGCTGTGGAGAAAAACGTGGGTTGAAGGAGTGAGACGGCGTGGATCATGGCCGGAAGGGGTTTGGTATGGAGTTGGGATGGCGGTTAAAGAGTTGTGCTTATGAATATCGTCGTCGCATGTTGGGACGATGGAAGTCGAATGGTGCTGGTGATAAGAGGTACAGGCACGTTGCAATGAGACAGCCAGTATCTTTCAAAGACCCATTTTGAATTGTTCGCTTGCAAATACGAGTACATTCCATTCATTAACCTCCATCTAAACCATCAAAGCACCTCCAGCAAACGCTATGGCAAGGAGAGTGATGAATCCAGCACCACTCGCTGAGAAAGCCTGCAGAGCCGCGGCAGCATCAGCAGACTCGGTGGAAGAAGCAGCTGAGCTAGTGGCAGAAGAGCTCGCAGAGCCGGTCTCAGAGCTGCTGTTGCTGCTGTCGCCGACGAGAGCCTCGAGAGCCTTGTCGTCGGTGAAGTAGGCCTTTACCGAGGAGGCGTTTCTGCACTCGCTGGGGGGCTCGGCCTTTCCCTTGACAAAGTTGGCGGCGATGCACTGTTGAACGTTAAAAACGGTGGACTTTTTCAAGACGAGAAAATACGTACCTGGTAGAGGAGACCATCGACGGCAGAAGAAACAACATTAACCCATCCCTTCTTGCCAACATACTTTTCCGGCACGGTAACCTGAGGCTGACAGAAATCACCAAGTCCACTCTGCTGAACGATGGGAAACAGCTGCTCCCAATCACCGTCGGCTTTCTCGTCCGTGGTGACGCGGAACAGCCAGTTGCCCTGCTGATGGGTAGAGCGGACGGCGATGGCCTCTCCGCCGACGTGAAAGTCGACGGTGTCGGCCTTAGAGAGGTCGGGGGTGAAACCGCCGCAGGGGGCCTTGTCTTCGTCGTCGTCCTTGAAACCGATCGAGTCTGGGTACTTGAGCTCAAAGTGGGCGAGGGAGATGCCGCAGAGGGCGGCGGCGGAGAGGAGGAGAGAGGAGCGCATTGTGATGGTATTGAAGAAGCGCTGAGGTGCGAGAAGTGGAATGCGAGAGAGGTGAGGATGAGAGGGAGTTGGCGATGCGAGATAAATGTGGGTGGCTGAGAGTTTTTGTAGCTGCGGAAATCGGCAACAGGAGCTACTGCAGTGTTGGCAAGTGCCTGAGAACGGGTCAAGCGCGTTATTGGCTTCAGCTCGTTAATTAACGAGACGGGAGGGAGTGTGGTTCATGTTTGACGGGGCAAGGGTGTGCATCATAATTGCAGCAGTGAATTGGACTGGACTCGGCTCTCGAAGTCATCATGAGAAGTACGTCATTGAGGCTACGAGAAGACATGATGGCGGCAATGGATCGTGTCTATGGATGCGTCAATTGAAGAAATATTCTATACATTTCTTCTCTACAAGTCTCAGTCTTCTTTAGGAATTACGATTGCGATTCTTACAGCCATCTCAACCGTGATTACTGCAAGACAAGCGAAGCTCTCGCAAACCATCACCAACCTTGATGGTGGAGAGGCCGTTTACCCCAAAGAATGACACCCCTGCAAAGCCGGGGGCTAAAGTGCAGGGTCCAATCAAGAGCCGCGTGCACGGGCCTTGAGGGTGTTTGAGCAAGTTTCCCAACTCTAGTGCAAGAGTGAGGGCATTTTCGTTTGCGAGAGACTTGAAAGGGTCTGGCTTTTTGCTCGGCTACACGGCATATTTACAGTAGAAACACGGATGAGACGGATGAACTTATATTGAAGAAAGAGGCGCAATATTGACTAATTTTGGTGAATTTTCCTGTCCCTTCCATGTCCTCTATCCTGTCTTTGGCGCTGTGGCCATCCACGGTCTAGATCGACTACCAATATCAGACACGGCTTATCAAATTGACCACCATCTTTCCTGACTCTCTCGTCTCGCGGGGTTCTTCCAAGTTACATCCAACATCAGCGCTTCTCTTCTACGGATCCTCCGTCTTCCGTGTCTCGTCGTTGCTTACCACCAGTCTGACAGCTGAATCAACCTGCTCAATCACTCTCACTCTCCCACGGTCACTGCTCGGCACGTCATCTAGCCGAGGACTTTACTACTCTCCCCGCAGCGGTCATGAACAGGTCCACAGCATAATGGCTATCTGAGCAGCATCTGCATTTGCGCTCCATCTAGACCTCTTCACCTGATCTACACCTTGCTTTCAAGACGCTGGCCGTCCCCGCGTTGCAAACAACCACTTCTATCCTTGGTTCAAGTCCATCATAGTCCACCATGGATATGGACCACATGCATCATGACCCCGGCCTGGGCATGGAGACAAACTATGCCTTTGCCCGGGGATACTGGTACTCCATCGCCGGCGTTGTCGGTGCCCTGGCTGCTGTCCGCGGCATCAACTACCTAGATGCTCGACAAAGGTGAGCATCACCCTCTGCCCCCTTCCATCTCAAGCTGACTCGAACAGACTAAAAGCATGTCGCGATCCCTCAGTCGACCATCCTACCCGTCCTCATGGCCCTCTTAGCCAGGCTTGGGCCACAGCAACCGCCATCTTCCGCGAGATAGGCCATCCGCAGTACTACATCCGCCTCCACGGTCTCCAATGGGCTACACCACTTCCCCTTGGTCGAATATGGGTTCTCGCTTGCTACTGGGCCGTCGTCGTCTACCTCATGAGCTGGAACGTCTCCAAGAACGACGTATACTACTGGGAGCGCATCGGATATCGCAACGCCTGGGTAACTCTCACGCAGTTCCCACTACTGTACCTCCTCTCGACAAAGGTCAACGTCATTGGCTTCCTCATCGGTACCAGTCATGAAAGGCTCAACTGGCTGCATCGGTGGGTTGCACGAACCATGTTTGTGACAGCGACGGTTCATGGCTTCCACTTCTGGACCATGTGGGTTCGCGCCGAATTTCTCGACTACGCCCTTGAGATCATGCCGTTGGTCAAATACGGACTCGCAGCCTGGGCGATACTACTCTGGAACGTTGTTACAGGCATCGTGCCTATTCGGAGGCTTTCGTATGAGATTTGGGTAGCTCAGCATGTGCTAACCAGCATCATCATGTTGTGGTTGTTACACAAGCATATCCCTGCAAACGCCCGGTGGTTGCTGTGGATGAGCATCTCGTTTCTTGTGTTTGACCGCGCCATGAGATGGATACTCTTACTTTGGCGGAATGTTCGCATTCGATCAAACGCATCAGCTTGCCAGGGGATGAAGCATCTAGGACATCGGGTGGCTGCCCGAGTTGTCGGGCCTTCAACAACTGTCATCACCATCAAGGACGTTCACTTTGAGTGGAAAGCTGGCCAGCACATCTACCTCTGGCTTCCTCGCTTAGGACCATTTGAGGCCCATCCTTACACCATCGCCTGTGCACACAAAATCGAGGGCACATGCTGCTGCAACAGCATACAACTGGTCGTCCGGGCGCATAACGGCTTCTCGAAACGAATTCACCAATACGCGACCAAAAATCCATCATCGGAGCTCACAGGCTTCGTATCAGGGCCTTACGGCGTTCCTCCGCGATGGGATATTTTCGAGACGCTGGTACTTATCGGAGCATCAACCGGAGCGAGCTTTGTTGTCCCCATTCTTGAATGCGTGGCCGATGCACAAAAGGCCAACTGTACACGAAGAGTAGAGGTCATGTTGATGGCCAGAACCCCAGAAGAGATCCAGTATTACGTCGAAAGGGCCAAAGAAGCAGGGCGAATGGTGAGGGCCAAGGGCGTGACAGTGAGCATCCACGTTGCAATAACAGGAGCCAGCAAACCGATTGCTTCACCAGAGCCTCAAAGCCAAAGCGACTCGGACGAGATCCAACCTGCAAAGACAGGTTGTTGCTGCAGCGCCCCATCAGCAAAGACGCCCGATGAAAAGGCATGTTCTAGCAAATCCTCATCAACGCCAGACCTCATACGCCAATACACAAGTCGACCTGATATCGAGGCCCTTATCCGTGAACCCGTGGAGCAGGCCTGGGGCGAGACGGGGGTCGTTGTTTGCGGTGGGCGAGAGATTGTCGCACGGACGAGGAATTGCGTGAGCCGCTTAAGCGACGAGAGGGCGGTACACAAGGGGACAGGGGCTCAGGGAATTGGATTGCATGTTGAAGAATACTCGTTCTAACCGGGATGTTGTTGATAGTGATATCATGGATATCCTTGGATGTGCATGTGCATGTTAGAGAAGAGCGCAGGACACGTAACGACAGCTTAACAAATAATGATGAAACCATCTACCGAGTACCAACCTCTCACATTTACCAAACAATTCAATGTTTGCTTCTTAATTCCAGACCAACCTGGAAAGCCTCCCTTATCCACTCACCCTGCCCCTGCCAGCTGGTCCCATCTCTGATTGGCTGCACACGTCTAGCGAAACCTCGTCCCCTCTTTTTGTTGTTTCCAGCCTCACCACCAAAACAAACCTCGGTCGGCTCACCGTCCTTGCTCAAGAGACAACTTCTCATCAAATTAAAATAAATGCACCAAAGAGCTCGCCCATGCCTCCTCGTCGAAGGCAGAGTCCTCTGCCGAGGGTGTACGCCCTGTTCAACGCGGGCGTGAGGCTGGTGGCGTGGTTGACTAGCCTTGCTGCTGTGCTCATGCTGGCGTATGTGGGAAAGGAGTGGCCATCAAAGAGTCAGGTCGTCGTCGCCGGCGCCCTAGGTGTGAGTTTTTCCTGCAAAAATATGTGTATTTCTCGCAAGTCTAACATAGTATAGTGCGCCATTGCCATGCTCAACGATAGCTGGGACATGCTGGCCACCACCGACGCCTCTATGGTAGTCCCGCGCCTCGCCGCGTCACGAAGAGTCCTGCACGACCTCTTCTCCATGGCTCTCTGTGTCGGCGGCATCATCATGATGTGGGTATCCAACATCAGCCTCTCATCAGAAAAGACTTCGGAGCAGCGTCGCCAAGAGAAGTGGATCATGATGGCCCTCTGGACGCTGATCGCCGTAGTGTGAGTTTCCCTTCCCTTTTGATCTTCATTGTTGCTAATGAGTTTTTAGTGCGTGGAGGTTGATCTTTGCGGTTTGGGGATGTGTGGATTGTTCTGGTGATGCTAGACGAGCAGCAAGAAGAAGACAAAGACGGCGAAGGAGGAGAAACGACCCTTGGGATCAGATGGGTATACTATGACGATGCAAGGAGTTAATGAACGATAAAGAGAAGATACGAAAAGGATAGGCATCGACACACGCGGTTTCTCGAAGACAGCTTTTTTGACGACAACCATCAGATATCGGCGTTTTTGCATTTTGAAGCATACGACTGGCGATCACGAGAAACGTGATGATATTTTTGAGACAGAGAGAAGGTAGACTAATATTACGACTGAGCTTAGTCTCACATCATTTAAAGTGCCAATATCTACGGCTATATACGAGATGTTCGTTACTCTTCGGTCTGTTCAAAGGGCAAACCATGTCTGCCTAACAAGCGAGAGGGTTCTCGACGCAAAGGCATCAACACAAACACTATTCAACACGGCAGGCAGCAGCATCTAACAAGCTCCCTCGGACGCATGGTAACCCAACAAACCCTGTTCACAAATGGTCATTATAAACGGTGACTTGCCCTCGGTTCTAACAATGACAACAACTTGGCCCTTTCATGCTCGAGGGGCCTTGATCCAACGGGATGAAGGTGAGATACGGAGACGCGACAGGGTCAATGGTTTGCTGCCTACTTCAAAGGCGCAACCGGTTTTGTGCACCAGTGGCGGACCAAGTTTGCGTCAAGAGCGAATAGCATGGGTCGAATGATGGAGGGAGATTCTATGGCGACCTTGAAGGCACAGTTTGGGCACTCTTGGCTCTGGCCATCGCGGCACCTTGTTCCATCCGCGACATTCATCAAGCACCAGGCTCTACTCTACGTGGGATCTTGGAACATAATAGCCGCTACTAACCGTGCTCTTTTTTATTCTGGCTAATGCTCCCTTTGGACCTGCTGCGTTACTCATCAACAGTTGGTACTGCGAGGACAGAGGAACCCTTTTTTTTTTCTAAACGCTACCAGCAACAACAATAACAAAGACGACGGATATCTATTCGCTCAGTTATCACATCAAATACTGGGCTTCAGCTATAACAAAAACACGATATCAGCAGCTAACACGGTGGCAAAGACGACAACGTCAACACTTGGGAGCATATCTGTCATTGTGAACTGGAGACGTTTTATCTCGGCAGCAGCAGCAGCAACAACAAAGAGGCTGACAATAACAACAACAAAGCATGTTGTTTTGGGATTGGGGTTTGATTCCGACCTGTGTTGACAACTGTGTCTTTTGCTATTGTGGCTGATGGCTTCTTTGGGGACATTATTCAGATCAACATCAGCAGCATGCCCCCACAGCTACTCAGACCCTTAGGGTTAGAGGTTGTCGATAAAGCTCGCGATGTAGTGCTCCTACGATACGTAGCCCTGTCGCGGTCGAATCACGAAGGCGGAGGGGCCGCTTCCACCAAGGTCGCCTCCAACGAACCAGCCTACTACACCCAAAGAAGTTCTCTATAATTTCCAGGCCCTTTTCTTACCTTCAGAGGGTCAATGGGACACTTTACCGACGTCAGACAAGTAGCCAGAACCGTTCGTGATCCGATCAGATCTGTGAAAGGGCACTGAGAAGCTGTCATGGGCCCCGAGACCGCCCAAGACTGGCCAGCCATTTTGAGTAGGACTGGCATCTTGGGGACAACTCCAGACTTACTTACTATTGGTTTTGGACAACGGCACTCATCGTCGAAAAAAGTTTGAGACCAGCGATCGTCGACCTCACTGCCTAGACCGGGATCCGCCAGATGGCAATCAATTCAGCATTGGGGGACGTCTCAAAACCTTGGATGACTTCCGTATGCAAGAAGATATTCTTTGATGTTTATTGGTCAAGGCGGACTCTTCGCCCCTTGGACTTGTCCCCAAGGGCAAAAGCAGGAGGCCTAGGTGTCTGCCATACCCAATCGAAAGCTCCCTCCTCAAGCACTCTGATCGTGGATTCTCGGTCATTCCTGAGATACTACTGTAATTACAAGAAAAATTCTATCGTATGGCTTTCTTGGCCCTTTGAAGAATTTGGGTACTTGGAATCGAAAGCTGCGTTCTCGGAAGGACATGAGTGCTTTGATGCATAGCCCATGATTGTCATCTCGTAGTGCTTTTTTATAGCATTGAAGTGCTTAAAGAGCTGGCGATGGATCACGGGAGTGTTTTTGGCAAGCTTGTAGTGCTTGACAGGATTTCAGAGCCTTGCAGCTTTGTCTTTCGTGGCGCGCGTACGGAGTTCTCTCGATTCTCACTGTCATCAGCAGGCCAGGTCAGGGGGCATAGTTGCGTGCGCTGGGCTATCACATGCCATGTAAAACGTCGTTCTGGGCCTATTCGACTTCTTAGGTACGCCGAACACAAAAGTCGCTGAACAGATGGCAGCGGTTATTGTCCCTGATGAGGTCCTTCGTGGCTTCACGGCCATTCAATGGCCCTCTATGTCCTTCTTCCGTGACAACGAGCGCTTTGGCTCCAAGTCCATGCTTTCGTGTCTTGTGGCCAACGCCACATGATTAACTGGATTGGCATTTGTGGCGGCGGTGGCAGGATAAACGTTCAGGACCAATGGTGTGAAGGTGATAGTTGTACTCGTACATCACAAACCAAGTATTAGAACATTGACTTTAGTGAACTAGAAACATGCATCTGACAACGGCTCTGCGAGAGGGCCTTCAAAGAGATTTGCTGGGTCATGTTTATTAACCTACAGAGACGAAAGGGAAAATGTGAGACACAAGATGCAAAAATCTGGAATATAACCTCTGTTCCTGCATTGCCTGCTGTTACGCCGAAAAGTAAAGGGTGTGGCGCCTGTATGCCAGCAAGAACCTTGACCACCAAAGCAACCCTATGACATACTTTTTTTTCTCCATAAAAGCCAGAGAACCCTCTCTTCTTTTTGGAAGACAAGATATGACCATGTTTCGATATCCCAGAACAATCACCAAGTGTTGATGACTTCCATTGCGCTCGACTTGCTCGTTGATGCGAATAACCTCAACTCTTGTTTAGCAAGCGTCATTTCTCATCTGGAAGAACGATCGAATATCGGGTTATCCTCTATCAATAAATCTTCTAGCATCCTGGACATCAAAACCCCCCCGGTCCTGTAAGTCTCACGCCCGCTCAGCACAACATCACGATCACATACGCAGCCACCACGGTCATGCCTCGCCTCTGTAGATTCCCGCGTCCAATCGTAGACTGCGAAGTCTACACCAACGAGCCATACGTGTTGGATATTACATCCGAGTACACGAGGCGCCCTCAAGAAGGCCTCGAGACCATCTTCACAGGCTTCGGCTCCACGATCAAGAACTTTGTCGACCGCCATCGCCGCCGTCGCAACAAGGTGCTCTCGGTGACGGTCCAAGTCACTCTGCGTAGAGTCACGATAGGAGCCGTCATCAATCTGCCTCCGCCGGTCCCAGGGAAGGGGAAGCATACTCGGGTTTTTCGCTACACCATCTCGGCTGGGGGTAAAGACTACCCCCTGAAGCTGTGGGTTAAAACTTCTCGGGGGCAGCTTATCGATGGTGAAGACGGCTCTAGCCCTGAGGAGCCTGGGGTCGAAGACTACTACCGAGCTTCGTTGCACTACGCGAGGTGGATGGTGGAATCTTTCTACCAGTTTTCGTCGTGAGACATTATGGCAAAAGAATAAATCCCCAATATTGGAGCGGCTTCCATTGTTGACTTCTCAGCCATGTTTGTCCTGGATGGCTTGGATCCATTGTGGTCCCGGCTTGTCATTCACCCGACGGCACCGTTTGCTATTCACCGTCTTCGTCCCTTTGATACCTTTGATCTCGAAAGACCAAAGGGGAGGATAACAAACACTACATCTTTACAATGCCTCAAACGGCCCGCGATGGTTCTCAACACATCGTTCAATAGGATTTGATTCGTATATAAGCCGATCATGCTCCTCATATGGTCCTTCGAATCAACAGAATTCATCCCATCAATCAACACCACTCTTACCACCAATCACCCTCTTGAAGGTAAACATCACCAACTTCTCATCTCAAGTCATAACACTAACTTCTCCCCAGATCAAAATGTGTCAAGCCGTCCGCTACGTCTACCCCGGCTGCGGCCATCCCATCCGCCCCGACTCCGATACGTGGTATCTCGAAAGATGCCGCATTGCCCACGACACAGACAGTAACTGCTGGCTGCCACGAAGCCCCCCTCCCGAGTTCATGCAGGAGAGAGTATATCACGGCGAAGATCTGGCCGAAGAATGCGCTACTTGTCTCACCTTGAACGCTTGGGATGATGATGACGCTGTTCGGGCATGGGTTGAAGGAGCAGACCCCTCGGAAATTGAATAGGGCTCATTCTTCGAGGGTGAGGAGAGCGACGTCGAAGACGAAGATGAAGAAGGCGACTCCGATGCGGGAAATACCGCCCAGCAAGACACCACGCAGAGACCAACACGGGCAGATACCTCGGCAGGTCCCTCTGCAGAAGAGCTTCGCGAAGCCGAAGACCTTCAGTGGGCGATAAACAAAATGATAGAGATCGATAGCGATGCCGGGGGAGAGACTCCTCCTTCTCCTGAGAACCGAAGATTGGGGTCGGCAAGCATGAATCTTCAGAGCAGCCAGCCTTCGGAGATGGAATATCACTGAGTTCCCTTGAGATCAGAATTTGAACGGCGACTCCTTCAGTCGCACAGTGCTTTCGATGAACGAAGCAGCTGAATCCATTTGGCATTAACCCTCTGTATAACCTCCAAGCATTCCCCAGAGTCATCTTCCGTCAGTTACTGGTTATATAGATGCTTGTTCCCTTGATCCAAGGATATCTCGATAACATATGCAAAAGTAATAATGTTTGCAGTGATGAGAACCACCCCGAGGTCATGTTTAAGCCAGGGATGCATCTATAGTGACATTTTGGCAAGTACCTAGAACCATCAAACGTGAATCCTTTCACCTTCACAGCGACAGAGCCCCTCAGCCGGCCCCCAGCGATACTCTATAATAGCGCAGCTTTGAGTTCTTTGCCTTGGCTGAGGTGAACTTGGTTGGTGCTTTAATCGGCGGTTTGATCTCTTTCAAGCCACCAAGACAAAGAGGACAAACAGAACAAGTTGTTGACCTATTTAACAGCTAGGCAGTAAATTAACTGCCGTGGGAGGTATTGGTTTTTACGCTGATTGTTATGTTAGGACATGCCCCCAAGGGGTCGTCATTCGATGGGACGTCTATGGGAGTCTGACACTCTCTGGTATTGCCTATTCAAACCACCTATGTACCAAGGCCAACTCGAGTTCCTTCATATTCCCAATTCCGTTAACCAAAGAGCTTGTCCAGAATACGCTCAAACATGGTGCTATCATCTGTTAGCAAAGCACTCCTCAGCCAATCGCGGCACTCACCTTGGCGGTGTCGGCACATAGTTCTCTTCATACTCTCGCACCTCATCGAGATTCTTGTAGAGATCAACCTCGTGTGGCTTGTGGATCTTGGTCTTGTGGATCAACTTCCAACCAACGTACATGACCGGGAAAAGACCGACAGACGTGTACCTATATCATCAGTATCCGAACTCATCACATTTGAGAACTTGACTTACGAGAACAAAAAGTCGGGCACGTTCCAGTACCCCTCGATGGGCAAAAACACGGTATACCCTCCCACGAATGTCATGATAAAAGTACCTGTGAGGCCATAGTACGCCGCATAAGGCATAAACCACGCCTGATAGGGCAGCGTGTCTCGGCTGATACCCTGGGCTCTCAGCGCACGACGAAAGCACAGGTACGTCACGCAGATGCATGCGAAGTTGATGAGCTGTGAGGCTGTGACAAGCGAGACGAACCAGTCCAAAACCACGGCCGTGTTGGTGGACAGCTGGAGGAACGAGAGAAGGGCGATGAGCAGGACAAAGATGACGCAGTAGATCGGCACACCCTTTCGAGTACAAGTCGTTAGGAACTTTGGCGCCTTTCCTTCGAGGGCGAGGCCGTAAAGTGATCGTGAGGCACAGTAGACGTAAGAGTTTCCGGCTGAAAAGGCACTCAGCAGCACCATAGCGTTAACAATGTGAGGCAGCACGTCGATGCCAAGACGGTTCATGGCAACCACGTAAGGTGAAGCTGCTGCTCCTGGCTTTCCGTTTGTAAAGGCGTCGGTCATCTCCTTATCGTTGTAAGGAACCAGGATACCAACACAAAGCGATCCAAGCACGAAGAAGGCTGTGAGACGGTAGAAGACGGCGTTAAAGGCTCTTGGCATGACCTGGCGGGGGTTTTCTGCTTCTCCTGCTGCCATTGAGACGTAGTCGGGGCCGGCGATGGTGAAGGAGGCCTGGATGAGACACTGCAGGAATCCCAGCCAACGACCCAACGTCCCGTCGTAGTAGAGCGGCTTGAACGCTCCCGGATTCTTCCAATAGGTGAATCCGAACGGCTCGCGCTGCGGGTTCGCGCCAACCATGACGAAAAAGGTAAATAGGATCAGGCCGACGATCAACAGAACCTTGCCGAGGGCTGCCCAGAACTCTGTCTCACCATACCAATGGACAGCCAACAGATTAATAGCGGCATAAAGAACAAGTACAATGACGATGATAGCAGCGGTTGGAACAATATCACTCCAGAAGTGAATAATCAGGTTACAGGCCACAACTTCAAAGGGCACGAGAGCGGCTTCGAAGATGAAAAAGTTCCACCCCGCTGCGAATCCAAAGGCCTCATCGACGTAGCGACCGGCGAATCGGATAAAAGGCGACGAGATGGGAAGGTAGGTCACCATTTCGGCCATGCAGAGGGTAATGGCGAGGATAAAGGTGCACCAGATGGTGAAGGCGAGGAACAAGCTAGCCGGGCCACCGTTCAGGAGACCTTTTCCGATTTGAACCTATATCTGTATGAGTTCACGTACTAAGCAAGGGAGAAACTCTGGTATCTACGTACGTAGAGGGCAGTACCAATGGTTCCACCGATACCAATCAGCTGAATATGTCGCGACTTGAGCCTTCGGTGAGTAGCATCCTTCTTGGTGCCATTGTGGAACGACGAAGCATTAAGGTCGTCAGCGAGTACAGGACTAGCCCCAGCTTCCTTTTCGCTCGAGAACTTGTCGTCTCCAGTAGGGTACGCCGGCGGCGTTGAGTTGATGGCGCCAGACATTTCGACCTGGATCCAGTAACCTCGAACTTGGGATTTCTTGTGTGTAGTAGTAAGCTCAACGGAATTGTCGACTCTGCTTCAGCGTATGGACTTGAGAAGTAGTGAAAAAAAGGCAACGACAAAGTCCATAAGCTGCAACACAAGTTCAAAGCTATGATCTCCCTCACCAATCTGGCGATGATCCTTTAGTGTTGACGATCAAGCTCGGTCCAAGGAGAATCAGAAGCTTAAAAAGAGGAACAAGGAATAGAGAGACCCATCGTCAAGTTCCAAACATTGCGGGCCATCGCGCGGCTTTTAAATGCAAAGGGGGGAGGGGGACCCGACCTCCCGTCTTTTTTACACATGATGCAACACCAAGTTTTTTCGGCAGTGGCGAGACAAGAACTGATAGAAACCCTCATGGAACCAGCATCCTAGGGTATGGGATGGTTGCACAAGAACCAACACCTCCAGTTCAGCTCTCACAAGCATCTTCTTCTCTTGTAGACCAATTGGATCCCCGACATCAAGTCTGACCATGCCATCTCGGCTCACCCAGGGATCCTAGATCATGACGAGGTTTTTCCCCTCGGGGAACCCCATTCGCCTGGGGTTCTGAGCACAGCCCATTTTGTGCATCTCCCCCCACGGGCGAATCCTTTCAATTCTTTTCTGTACTGGAGTTTCTTGCGCTGGTAAAACGGTTGGCTCCGTAGATCATTGAACCGACGTTCAAAAGTTCCTCAAGAGCCTCCTCCTTGGCGCCCACAACAAAAAACGGGATGACGCTAAAGCGCAAGCCACGACGGAAAGCCTCAGTCTTGGATGCAGTTTTGACACGACGATATCACGAATCACAACCTCGGCAAGTCGCCGAGTATTGGCTCTAGCTTGATTCTCTCTCTCTCTCTCTCCACCCTCACTAGTCTCTTGTTTCGTCCCCCTCCTGCAAGGTAAATGGCCTGGTGTTTTTTGCATCCCTGCATGAGTCGCGTGCATTTATTATTCCAAGAAAGACTTCAGCTTCTTACTTTACCACGCCTTCTTCGACGTTGCAACGCATGCTTCCACCAAACTGGTTCACCATGCCTGTGACCAAATGCCCGGGTCTAGATCACGCTCATCCTTGCTCCCCTCGTCCTCAACAATGACGAAAGAGAACTAGACCCACCAGGCAAAGAAGAAACAAACTCCATCGCCTCGCATGGATGCGGCTGCTTTTTTGTCCCAACCACCATGCTCTACAACGTAGTATTGATAGTCGCCGGTCAAGGATCCATGATACCCCTCATGGATTTTCAACAAATAGATAATAACTCAGTAATCAGTTATCTGACAATATCTCGCGTACGACCCTTTTGAGCGTCCAATGCATGGTTACTTGTCTGTTGAGTGCTTCCATCACAATGATAACAACTCCTCCTCGCATCTTGAGCGCATTTCATACCCAACACAGATGTGGACTTGAAACAAGACACGCAGGTAGTCAGGGGCTACACCAATGACGATAGCCCAAACCTGTCGATCCAGATAATTTGATTGCCATCAATCCTTTAAGCTTGCGAGGGTCGCCGCTATAGCGTCGGCGTTTTTCTTGCATAGCGGGCAATCCATGACTCGGGTCCTTGAAGAGCCAATTAACCAGACAGTTTATTCTGTTGCCTGGACCGGGGAATCAAGGATACTCGACAAGGGTGCATCAAAGAGGAAGCTGTTTACGGCATCCCCGCTCTTCTATTGATGTGGCGTCTGGAGGATTTGCGCAACCAAGGAAATGGATCTGCCGTTGTTGGAATAGAGTTGCTCCTAGATACGGTTCAGCATAACGCTGGGCAGTCTAGTGGAACTAAGCATGCTATGAATTGGTCTAAATCTCTTACTGTTTGGTTGAATAATGTCTAAAGTAGGGATCATTACTCAAATTACTATGATATCCCTTAGCTAATGTCGATACCGACATACGCGCATGCTCGTTCTCAAGCGACTACGGAGAGAAACGCTAATCTTGCCCATCGTCTGACTGTGGAGTGTCATCAACTCTTCCGTTTGGTCAAAAAGAAGAAAAGAAAATCATATTAGCGCTAATCTTGAGGATATCTCGTTGGTGGCCATGTGCCCATGTATGTAAGCTGCAAACCAACAACCAAACATCACCCCCCGCTCGACGTCACCAACACCAATTCCAGAGACCAGCATCGCATTTCCTCCCCAGTCTTGCTTATATCCCCTCTCATTGGTTCCGCACTCACCGGCACATGACCTGCCTTCGGTGTCGCCGTGAATGCACCTCAAGGGTTGGGAATCGTAATAGTACAAAGCATTCATGCATGAAATCCAAGTCCCGTCAGTCGCGCCTCGTCTTCACCCTTGTTAGTACCCGTCTTTTGTTTCCATTCTCGTCTTTTCCTCTCCCATTCATGGCATTAAACGATCGTCATTTCAACTTGGGTATCGTCCAAAAGAGCGTCTTCGTAGTTGTTCTTCAACAACTTATCCTGTTTACAACTCGTC